TCCGCACTTGCGCAAAAACTGGTGGGCGGTAAGGAAATTTTCCCATCAAGAAAGATCCATTCGTGGGCGGTAAGTAGAAAAAGGTTGACTACCACTGCCCTAGACAGAGCATTGGGCCCGGCTTAGTATGCGACGCCCAAAATGAGCCACAAGTAACGTATCTTTTTTCCCTCCCCGTGCTTTCTTCAGTACCTAGACAGAATAGGACAGCTCTTCTTCGGTGTTCCCCCAAAACAAACGTCATCCTACGGAGGACTATTAGGTGAGTTGCAGACACAGGATGAAACTTCCTCTCTCCAGGGTGGGGGGAAATAGCTTGTTTTTCGCGAATGGCTTTTTGTTGGCATGGGGATGGCAGTAGACGGGTGGGCCCAAATGCAGAAATTGTGTGTGAATTTAAATACTGTATTTTTCAGAGTATAAGACGCACTTTCTCTTCCCCCCCCCCCTCAAAAAAAAAAGAGGGTGGAAATGTTGGTGCTTCTTATACACCGAATACGGCCATTTTTGGCCTCCCGAAACCCCCGTCCCGGCGTGTCCCATTTTCACCAAAAATTGGTGAAAACCATTTTGGTCTAAAACGGGACATGCAGAGGATTTGGGAGACCTGCAAAGTGCTCCTGGGGGCTGGGGAGGGCAAGAACGGGGTGCGTGGGGGCCTTGGGAGGCCAAAAACGGGCGCGTTTTCCACAAAAATGGGTTGCACAGAGAGTTTGGGAGGCCTGCAGAGTGCTCCCAGGGGCCAGGGAGGGCAAAATCTATTTTTTTTTCCTTGTTTTCTTCTTCGAAATCTTGGTGCGTCTTACACTCCAGTGCGTCTTATAGTCCGAAAAACACTGTACTTTTTCCTGAATGGTTGGTAACCTCTGGGCTCCTTTTGATTAAACAGTGTTATCTGTCAGGAGCCCCGAAACCCACCTCCTCCATATCAGTGCCTACCCTTTGGAATGAGGTTTTCACTGCCTGAGATTCAGAACTCCCCTCACTCTGAGGTTGTTGAGAGGAGCTGAAATGTCCTTGCTCTTCACCCTGGCCTTTGAAGAGGGAGAACCCCCTCTCGTGTCATCCCGCTGGCCATCTGTCTATTTTCAAACTTTTGTGGATCATGTTGGCAATCACTTCGATCGTTACAAACAGCACACAAGCTTAATTAAGATCGATCATGCCCTTTTATAAATAAAAAAAATCCAGCCCGTTTTCTCAAAAAAACGGGCCATTTTGGGGAGGCTTGCAGAGTGCAAAAACTTTTCTTTTTTAAATTTGCCTCTTCAAAAGCTTGGTGCGCCTTATACTCCGAAAAATATGTTAGTTTTTTTCTTTTTTAAAGAATGTATAGGCCGTCCATCTTCAGTTAACTGGGTGAATTTCTGTCCTGGGCCCATCTCTGATGAGCATCCCTAAGGCTTTGGGGTTTCCTCCCTTCTGTGATTCCCTCCTTAGGCAATCTTTTAAACAGCCTCATGGTAGCCGGGGAAGAGGAAGAAATAGAAGAAGAACAGCAGGAAAACAGCAGCCCCATCGAGCTGGATTGATCTCCTCCTAAATCCCTCGGAATCCGACCACACGCTCACCCGAGACTCCCACAAACGTCAACGAAAGCGACCGAGAGAAAAAAAGACATTGGGAACGAATCCTGCCGTCGTTCCTCGACAGGTTCAAGGGGGGGGGGCCTCTGTTATGTTTAAAAGAAGAAGGTTTGCTGAGATGTTCATGTTTTGGTCTATATTATTTATGTTTTAAAAAGAAACCCTGATGCGCTGGGGGTAGCCAGGAGGAAAAAAAAAACAAACGATTTTGTTGCAATCATTAGCGGATTTGTCTTAATGACGGCAGCAGACCGAAAAAGGCGCTTTCTCTGTGGTTTTTCTGAGCAGTATTTCCCTCCTCTTTCCAGGCCCATGAAATAAAACCAGAACACACGTTGGTTGCTTTATATACGTATATATATATATATATAGGCTACCATTTTTATTCCAGCCGATGCACCGATTAAGGATTTTTGATTGTCAAAAGGAGGGGGGAGGAGAGAAAAATGGGGGTGGAGTTGTCGAAAATTCAGGCAGTTGCTGCTCAAGAAAGCATCCTGTAGACTGGTGCCAAAATAATAGTAATAATAATAATGAATTTTCAGATGAGCCAAAGAAAAAAATTGCTACTAATTGAAAAAGAGAACAAGAAACCACGCAAGGACTTAACACCAAATTCATACCCACCGTAGAGGGGTAAAAATAATACATTTGGGTAATTATAGCAAGGAACAGGCCGAGCATAACTTCGGGTAAGGTAAACTTTCTTTTTAAAAAATGTCATTTAACCCCAACGTGTGGAAGCCTTAGTCCAGGGGTCGGCAACCTTAAAACACTCAAAAGAGCCACAAAGTTCCTAACCGGAAGTTCAATTCTGGAGCTGACCGGAAGTCTGATTCCCGCACCATAAAGTCTCCTCCTAGAGCGGCGTCCTTTTTCCTCTACCTGTCCTAACCGGAAGCCCTATCAATTGTGCAGCCGACCGGTGACAAGGAGCCGCAACAGAGGGATGAAAGAGCCGCGTGCAGCTCCAGAGCCGCAGCTTGCCAACCCCTGGCTTAGTCAAAGGAGAATGGTCCTCTAGAGGTATGAACAACAGCCTAAAATCTTGTTATTTTCCTAGAAAGATGGTTTTATTAGTCCGAACATCCAGCAATCTGCAGCCCTGCTTCCAAACCCCTCCCCCCCCCAAAAAAATCGCTCCCTTTTGGCTGGCGAAGAAAGCATGCACATATTTAGAAGCAAGAGTGATCCTTAGGTGAAAGGGATCTGCGGACCTTTTAGATTATTTATTTTGACGGGGTGATCCATTGACCCATTTTGTTTTTTAACCCTTCGTGTGCAAAAGAAAAAGAACAAAAAAACTACAAGTAGCTTACAAAAAAAAAACGCTCAACGGGCTTCGCGTAACTCTTACATCCTTGTCTCCGTTAACGCACATCGACCCACCGGAAGTTTAAACCGTACGATGACACAAAAAAAAAATGAAAAAAACGGAGGAAGGGACGTTTTTATTTTTTCACGTTTTAAAAAAAAAAGGCTTAGATTAATACGGCGATCATGCATGAAAGGGGGAATATTACGTTTTTATTTACTGTAAAAAACGAAACAAAAAAAAAGGATGGATTTGTGTTAATTGTTGAGTATAAAATAAATACTTTATACTGGATGTGTGCTGCTCTTACCTGGGGAGCATGGCTAAGCATCACTTTGTATTTTATAGGACTCGGACGAGAGCCTTAAACCACAATTCTTTATTTTCGCGGGAGCCGGCTGCAATTTCCCTCGGCTGTCTGGGATTTTTCTGCCAGATCTTACTTTTTCTCAAGCCATTGTCCTGCCAGCTTTTGAGTGGTGCGGTAGCCTAGAGGAGGCAGTGAGTTCAATCCTAGGTAGAGGCAGATCTCTCTCTCTCTCTGGGAACAAAGAGAATATATCTGCTGAATATAACTCCTCATCGGCAACAGGAAGGGCATCGGGCCAGTAAAACACACAGCTCCATTCAGTTGCCCAGACTCCACCCCGCAAGGGATTATGGGGTCATTAATAGAGGATGATGACGATACCTTTTGCACACGTAGCCCTCGACTTACGACCCCACCTGAGGCCGGAATTCATGTTGCTGTGTGAGACATTTCTTAAGTGGGTTTTGCCCCATTGTATGACCTTTCTCGCCTCCGTTGTTAAGCAAATCAGTAAGTAACCCAATTGTTAAGTGGCTTCCCCACTGACTTTTCTTGTCAAGACGGTCGCAAAAGGGGATCATGTGATTTTTGGGACACAGTCCTAAATACAGCTGCCAAGCCCCTAGATTTTGATTGTGTGACCGTGGAGAAGGTTGTAAGTGCGAGCGCTGGTTGTAAGTCACTTTCTCCAGTGTTGTCATAACCAGGAATAGCAATAGCAATAGCAGTGGACTTATATACCGCTTCATAGGCCTTCAGGCCTCTCTAAGCGGTTTACAGAGAGTCAGCATATTGCCCCCAACAATCTGGGTCCTCATTTTACCCACCTCGGAAGGATGGAAGGCTGAGTCAACCCTGAAGTCAACCATGAGTTAGAGTCCCAGT